ATAAAGAGAAGGAACTGCACGTGGTGGCTACAAACGTACATTCATTCAATTTCCCTTAGCAATTACTGGACCTACGATGCTTATGGATAAATCAGGAATTCGGAAGCAATCGACCACGAGCCAACATAGATCTCACTTTTCAGTTATAGACGTTGGCTCTCATTCTGCTTATATTCAATTGCTAGGAATATGTAAACCAGCATGACCCGCACACATGCAGACGCCCGTAGCGCCGATGAATTATTAAGTTTATTAAGCATATACGCGTTCGATTTGTAGGAATTCTTTTTTTTTTCTTTCTTTTGGCTCGCGTCATGTCTCTTCGAAAGACTCTCGGTATTATAAACATACACGACTGCCAATCACATCGCTGATTTATTAAAGTTTAATCTGCCAAGTGAGAGAAATGCTACGTTTCCGTTGTTCTACATTCTCGTGGATAACGATGCCGAATATTATTTTCCCCAAATTTCTCTCTTTCTCGTCTTCGCTTTTCTTTTTTTCTGTTTCTTACAAATGCTCGTCGCAGATAAAATGCCGTACACTCGTCTCGAATCAATCGCAAACTGTGCATGTGAATATAATTCTGCGTTATGTATTGCCAACGTGCAATTGTGTAGGTTCCGAGGTATAACCCAATTTAATACTTCACTCGCTGGTTCTAGTTGTTTTAGAAATAATTACTAAACTACAAGAATGTCTATTGTTTTCATTACTTTCGGAACTCCCTGAAAATTAGTGTTAAAGAGCAATATCTAATTTACGAATTAATTGGGTTGGATGATAATTTTAATGAATGAATAAATAAATAAATGGAATTAATTAATTATTTGATACATAATCTATGATACAACTGTACAAATTTGACAATTTGAAGCTTTGGAAAGCAGAATTGAATAATAAATACATGTCTTTTTAACGACTTGGCAAATCAAAAAAAAAAAAAAAAAAAAAAAAAAAAAAAAAAAAAGCAATTTTGGGGGGTAATGTAAAATTTTACATAAAGAAACTTTTTAAGCAAAAATTTAATATTGTAGTACACAAAAACATTATTTATAAATTAAATCGAGTTTTTTCACTTGGCAATAATCACTCTCGGTGGTTCAATAGGTATAATATTAAATAACATTAATAGTTTAGTAATAAATAATTTGAAGAATATTTGCTGTTTACTATTTTTTGATAGAGTTGGAAATGAAGAAAAGTAATGGAAAACTTATTCTTATGCCAAGTTAGTTTTTATCATAATTTTTTGCCTAAAATTTTAAGTAATAGTTTAAACATATTTTTCTTTTGAAGACATTTTATGGTCAGAATATAAAATACATCATGAATATTTGAAAATATATGTATAGAGTTGTATTAAATACAAGTCTCAGCCAATTTCTAATTTCAGAAGTTTAGTGCGACAAATAAATTACAAAGAAACTTAAACTATAAATAAAGCAAAAAAGTGTGCCTCTGTAACAGTTTTTAAAAATTACTAATTTTATGTTTAATTTTTAATATACTAAAATATCAGTTTACTATAAATTATTTTAAATTTGATAAATTATATGTTCTGAATCGGTGCATTTATGATAAAGAATTGAATTAAGAATTACAGTAGTTATTATTGGGACTAACTATTCTTATGGATGGACACATAAATAATAATAATGTAAAAATGAATAGAGCCTTTTGAACAAATCAATTATAATTTAAAAAAATATTTTACATAATTTTCCAAGAAAATTTTTACAAAAGAACTATGATAAAAATTTTAAAAATTCTATCGGACACCCAAATTATAGAATAAATTAACTTATTAAATAGAGCACAAGTTTCTATTTGTCACGTTCGATATCTTTCAATGCATAAATGACATATACGATCCTCAAACACTTACCAAGTCGAAGCTCTCCAAAGTTACCACAGCCAATTTTCTTTCCAACTCGGAAATTAGGACCAACCATGAGTAGATTCGACGTGGAAGTAACACTGTGTCGAGAGGTATGCATGTTGATCCTAGTGGTATTACTACTGACTCGCCAGGCTCTCTTAGCAGCTTCTTGTTCACGCTCTCTGTCTCGATCCGTACCACGTTGCAGGTCCTTATCGGCCCTATTTTCTCTCTCTCTCTTTTGCATGATGGAAAGCTCTGCTATCTGGAAACTCGATTGTCTTATATTATGTTCTGGAGTGTCCTCTCACTGCGACTGCCTGTCAGTGACGATAGTGGGTTGTGGGCAGCTCCATGCCCCTCATTACAAAAGCAGCTAATAGAGCATACAAGAAGAAAGGACACTCCGTGCTTGTGGTGAAGCTGCTTCTCAAGTCTGCCTGGTGACGTACATCACTCGGTGAGCACCAATCTTCATGTTTACACGTGGGGGAAGGGGAGGCTCCGAGAAGGCTGTAACGGCTATCTTGCGTAGTAACGGCGACGAAGAAGACACACACAAGAAGGCCCGATTCGTAACTCACGAGACACTAAAAAGGCAGACATACACAAAATGTACATACACGGCCACACACGTACTTACACAAAAGTGCTCGTCGCTGGTACGTATACGTACGCCACGCGCACACACACAATCACGCGCGCGCGCTCACTCACGCACACACTTGCAGATGGATGGACGATCCTCTAGGTCAATGGCTCACTGCTACTGGTATTGCTGCTGTTGTTGCTGTGCCGCTGCGCTGTTACTGTTACTGTTAGTGTTAGTGTTACTGCTGCTACTGCTGCTGCTGCTGCTGCTGCTGCTGCTGCTGCTGCTGTTACTTGCGTTGACCGGCCGGTCGCGAATCGTTCGCAATGCCTTGGCTGTACCGCTGCTGCACCGCTGCTGTTCCCGCAAACGAGTCGGGACAGTCAGTAGCTGGACGTTGAGAGAACAGAGCAGCGGCGAGAATCGACGAGTAGCTGTGCCGCGAGGAGGCCTCCATTACGACTCATGTCTCGGGAGTTGTTGGCCGCTCGGCCGTCGTTGTTCCCCTACCGCCTCTTCGACGTACATATACAATGTACGGCGGTAGCGATGGCGCGCAATGCGAGAGACAAAACACGAGATATGTGCGTGCAATGTCGATATACGTACTCGCAATGTTTGATCCCCGCTCGTCACTACGTTTTCCGTCTTCTTTACGTTTCCTTGCTCACTTCTCCTCTTTTTCGCTTTCTATCGCTCTTCCTCTTTCACTCTCTTTCTCTTTCTCTCTCTCTCTCTCTCTCTCTCTCTCCCTCTTGTTCCTTTTCTCTCTTTGCTTCACTATTCTTGCTCACCGAGGAGAGAAATGAATGAGCGAGCTGTGCTCCGGTGATTTGAGGTTAAGTTATTCTTTTTTGATCGCCCAGCTAGTTCTCCCGAAGGAGAGGAGAGCGAGTCGACTTATCGAATTTACGGCACTACAACGGCGGCTGAGGCGACTGCACGCGGCCGATGATGGCAACTATACGACTGCCGATGACCAGCGACGACTGCTGCTGCTGTTCCGCTATTACTTTGGAGTCGCGCGGGCTCGCTAAGGCGAGAGAGAGAGAAAGATCCGATGAGTACAGAGCTCTCGCTCCGTCTACCACTGGCTGTCCGACCAGCAGAGTCTGGATATCGAGGCGCGCGCGCGCGCGCACACGCTCGACAGAGAGAGAGGTAGAGTTGGGCGCGGAGGTGGCAGGGGCGGAGAGAAAAAATGGAAAAAAACGTTGCGGAGGAAAAATTTCGCCGGAGCAGTGTTGTGTAGCGCGCGCTTTGACTCCTCTCTCTCTTTTTTGCCGTTGATGCGGCTGTTCCGATGTCGCGCTACACGAGTTTTTTAACACACTCGTTCCAGAGAACGACGCACGGGAGAGGAAGGAAACTCGGGAATATGATGCAAGTTCGCACACGGAGTAAACTGCACACGTACGTGCACGGGGGCTCGACCGCGTGTATGTGCGCACCTCTACGTTGTGCACATGTGCAAGTTTTCACGGATCGAGTGTTGAAGGTAGAGAGAAAGAAATAGGGAGCGAGCGAGCGAAGGGGTTCGGTGGAGGAAAAATGAGTGAGAGCGAAAGAGAAAAAAAAAAGGGAGAAAGAGACAGAGATAGAGTGAACAATAAGCTTCGGGGAAGATCGGTGGTCGCGCCGAGGCTAATGATCCTTCTTTTAAGCTTCTAAGCTGCGTGTGTCGACTGCGACACGGTCCGCTCGCGTCACTCCTGCTCGCGACGTCGCCGAGGCGTTTACGGATTAACTCAATGACCCCTCGTCTTAGCCGTCGTTTTCGTCGAACAACTCGCTCTCGCTCTCGCGCTCGCGCGCGCACGCTCAACCATTGAGGCGACGATGATACAAGAGAGAGATTTTGTCGTTAATCGCTGCTCGCTGCAATACGGCTCCCACGGCAGGTTTACCAACTGGAGTCACCGCCGGAGTCTCCTCTTCCTCTTCCTGCTCCTCTCCGACACCGCCGCCACCTCCTCCTCCTCCTCCTCCTGCTCCTCCTCCTCCTCTTCCTCCTCCTCCACCTCCACCTCCCCCACCTCTTCCTCCTGCTCCTCCTCCTCCTCCTCCTCCTACTTCCGGCTTCTCGCTTTCGTTCATTTTCTTCCGACACTCGCACTCCACCTTCCCACTTAGCTCGTTCGTTCATCAGTAGAGAAGGAGCATTTCGCTCGCGCTCCCGTTAATTATATCCATCCAGACTCGCCTTTCTCTCCTCCTTCTCCTCCTTCTCCTTCTCCTCCTCCTCCTCCTCTTCCTCCTCCTCCTCCTCCTCCTCCTACTCGTATTTCTTTGCCTACACGTCCTCTATCTTGCTTCTCTGCCTTCTACTCTGTTCTCCTTCTCAATCTTGCGATTTCCTATTGTCCTCCTAACACTTATGCTTCCATGCATGGTTTGCCTATCGTTGTGACAGCCTTTGTCCTGCGGCTACTGTTATTCTGAATACATGATTCTCGCTTCTCAAACTTTACCTTTAATTTATTTCGTATTCTACTTTAAATCGACGGATTAACGTTTAATGGATAAATTTGCTTCTATTGACTGCTTGCGTGTTCGAATTTTGAAAATATTTGCTATACCAACTTGAATTTTTCGTCATTGAAATCTAACGGTTTAAATTTTTTTGTTGCCAATTTTCGTATTTTCAAATTTAACGGTCGATGTTTTTAGTTATCGATTATGTATCGTTCCGAAGTTTGGAGCAATTATAAATTAGGTTTCAATTATTTAGAAAATGTTTTGGCGATTAGAATGTAGTGGAGAAGTTTTATATAACATTTTTCATAAATATCGTACAGAGAGGATAACAGTGGTCGTTAAAGTTGCTATTTCGTTAATTAATTAAGGAAGATATTTTGAACGATTGGAGAATTTTGCATTCGTGTCGATCGACCGACCGACCGACCAATCTTATAATTTGCAAATTTTCTGTTTCAAAAGTATTTAAGAATTTTAATATACTATTATGACTTCCAAAGGCGACTATTGTTTTAATTAAAATTTCAACAATATCATTTATAAAACCATAATGGTGACAATTGAAATTGAAATTGAACTTGCCGGCATAACCTTACCTGAAGTTAGTCGTTTTTTTTACAAAAAACGCGCGAATTGCGACTACGCAAAGTTTACTCATCATGATTCGGTTCTAGTAGTATTTTATGGTTATAATTGTTTCGTATCTATGTCCAATTCAAATGTACAGTTCAAATAATAAACAGAAATTCAAATTTTTTCGTGCTTAAAATACAATTTGTTTAATTAAGTATTCATGTTGTTTATACGATCCGGTAAAGTCTTATTCCATCTTATATATCATGCAGGATGACGCATACAAGTCTCACGATGAAATTGAACCTCGAAAAATGCCTAAGCAGGCATCCAAATTTGATGTAACTATGTGTTTCCAATATTATAAATTAAATTACATTAAGTTATTTTATTGCGTAAATAAACTTTTGTCATTGTAAGAAGTAATTTTAATGTTCTTAGACCAGACCATTTCCAATGGTTCCCGAGGTATCCTTAATATGGGATAAGCCTAGTCAATCCACAAAGATAAATGATAATCTACCAAATACAATGCCTGAATTAAGGATATATAGCGAACATGATACAAATTCTAAAGGATCTGAATCTTATGCTGCATGGAAAGAAAAACAGTTTCCTCAACAAACAAGCAAAATATCATCTAGTAATCTTAACAAACCTTATACTTCTCACAATAAGAGCTTGCAAGATAATTATAGACAAGCCATCAAGTCATACAGTTCCTTAGATTGCAACGATTATAAAAATAATTACAATAATCAAATTTCAAGTAACGACTCAATTAATAAGCCTAAAACAGTGAGAAGATCTGATGAAAATTATGAAAATAAATATAAGTTAAGCCACGCTAGAAGCTGTAATGGAATCGATATTATAAATAATTCTTATAATTACAAATCTAGATTTCATAACAAAGATGAAAGAAGGGATGAAAGAAGGGATGAAAAAAGGGATGAAATATGGGATGAAAGAAGAAATGAAAGAAATGATGAAAGAAGAAATGAAAGAAATGATAGAAATGATGAAAAAAGTGATGAAAACAGAAGCGAGAGAAGAGATAACAGAAGAGATGAAAAAAGAGATGAAAAAAGGGATGAAAGACAGGATGAAGAAAAGGATGAACAAAGAAATGAAAGAAGGAATGAAAGAAGAGATGTACAATGGGAGGACACAGATATTTATGATGATAGGAGATATTATGATCATGTATATAATGAAGATTGTCATATTCCACATAAATCAAAAATTCATAGATCATCTTCACATTCCAATGTAGATCATTATCTTCATAGAAGTATTCCTATGGAATACGAGTGTAAGTCAAAACATTCTAGATCGTTACAACCAATTCATTGTAGTCCAGAACATTCTCATAATTGTTCAGGTTGCTGCAGTTTGAATCAAAGTAAATCTAGTAGAGATACAGAAACAGTGAAGAATTTATTACAAGTTATTACTAGTCAAAATGAGCAGATTAAAAACTTACAGAAACAGTTAGAACGTGTTTTAAAATTATACGAACAAAATATAAAAGATCACTATCAATGTCCTTGCCATTCAGGCGGAATTGTTTATCAAAATACTCAATTATACGACCAATCTCAAACAACTAATTTACCTATTCCACATAATAATTTGGTTAAAGATAATGAAAAAAATTTGTCTGATAAAACTCAACATGAAAAAACTAAACAAACTATTTTAGAACAAAAGGTTTCTATTGGAGTTATGACAAGTTTTGAATTAAAAGTCCAAAATAATCCATCATTGGGAATTGATAATGATACAAAGCAAAAAAATAATCATGAGAAGGTAGTATCCAGTCTTGAAACCTCAAATATGATTAAAAATCTTGTAAACGATACTGGAGAAATGATAAGAAAAAAACAAAATATTTTTACTCCTACACCACTTGAAAATATTAGTGAAGGATCAGAAAGTCATATTTCTTCTTTTCGTCAAAGCCATCTATATTCAGATTCAATTAGACCGATAATTTCACAAGATTCTTCTGAAGCTAAAAATGCAAATTATTATAAGTACAATGTTATAAAAGAAACTGATAATGTAAAAAAGAAAGGGGAATCTAAAAGATATACAGTAGCAACTAATGATAAGAATATTAGATATACAAGTAATTTAGATTATGATGTCAATGAACCAATATTTAAAGATACTTTTGATGATAATGAAGAAGAAACATATGAATATAATCTTCCATATGAAGATTTACCTTCTTTAGCAGAGAAAAAGAAAAAGACTGATGATTTTAATGTAGAGCCTATATTAAATGACATTATAAAAACAAAAAATATTAAATTTGATCAATTTGCTGATGAATGCTTAAGTTTGAGTAGTAGTGAATTGGATTTAGAAGAACCAAATCCACCAAGTCCTGAACCAAGTATTCATGTAGATTTACAAGAATATTCAAGTGAAAATGGCAGTTTACCACCTCAGCGATCGGCTAAAGTTGGATGGACATTGTACAATAATGTAGTTGATCAGGTCAATCAAATTTTACAAAATTCACCATTAAATAATAATTCAGAGCAAGAAGCATCGGATGGCATGAGGAATATGGAGAAAAAGGAAATTGATAACAATGTCATTATGGACACTGTTAAAGCAGCAACCCTAGAGCAATTGACAAAACTTGGGATCAGTTTTTCAGATAATGTGGAACAGAGAGAGCCTCACAGCAACAAAAAGTAGGCTCTGTTTTATTAATTTATATTATTATAAGTATATTAGTGAAAAATGTAGTTTAAAACTACCTTTTGTTTGCTTGTAAATCAATAAATTTATAAAGTAATATTATTATTTACATTGTTTATATAAAGATAATACTTTTTAGAGTTGCGTTTGATACATCATATTATTCGAGACAGATTCCGGATACGCATGTAGTCACCACCAGTGCCAGTATCGAAACTAATACGAGCTTGCATATGAAAGCCCTAGCTATGAAATATTTAAATGATGAACAACTAGGAGATATAGCATTTCAAAAGCCACGACTTCCTAATTTGAAACAAGGGCACAATAATATTCAAAATACAAATATGTCTTTTGCTACAATGCATTATTTGCAACGCTATCATCTACTTCCTGGTACAAATTCCAATCATATACAAGGTACAATATTTAATATTTTTATTTTTTAAATCTTAGTATAAACTTTCCTTTTATCTTTTTAGCCATCTGTTATATTCCATCAGAGATTTAGTTGCATTTAGTTATAATTTTTTATATATTCATTTGCAAATTTTTTGTATTTTAACATTTTTATATAACAAAAAAATTTTGAAAATAAATTTTTAAAAATGTAATGTCAGTGGCAATAAGTTTCAAAGCAACGTTTTCTGAACTTTCTTGAATACTTTTCAATTACGATCCTTGAATATTTATATGAATTTAAATTGTATATTTATTTCATTTGATTTCTAATAGAAACTAGACTGGACGAACATCATGGACAAGGACCAGTAATTAATGAGAGATTGGTCATGAAAGCCCCGGAGAGGAGAGAAGCAAGTCCTCATAGGTATCTACCTCTTACGGGAAGTTCAAAGATCAGTTATCCTAGCAAAATTTTAGATATATCAACTTTAAAACAACAACCAAAACTTTTGTAAGATAATCTATTATATTATATTTATATATTTTGAACCTACTAATGTTGATTGTAATGCTGTAATATAATAATTTTGTACTTATAGAGCAATGTAATGTTAAATACATACAGATATATAAATAATAATTTTTATAATTAATGATTTTAATTTTTTGTATAATTATTTTATGTTCTTTTTTTCTTTTATTCTGGGATTATAATAAATTACATGATGATTAGATAAACAAATCAACGTGGCCTAAAAATAATATTCGATCGTTAATACTTTATGTAATGCTTATTTTTATTACCCTTCATCTAATTCTATTATTAATTGTTATTTATTACAGATATTCTTTAGACTTATTCTTTTACGTTAATTCAATTTATTATTCATTAATTGATACATTCATAGGTCGGTAAATCCTACACAAGTAACAATAATACATTTATATTTTTCATATACACTATATATTATAGGTGTGTATGCGCGCGTGCATACGAGTATGCACAATGCATGCGCGTACACAAATGCGCGCGCGCATACACACGCACACGTACTCATTCGAAACAAAGCTTTGTGATGCATGTGTTTCGTGTGACTTTCACAAGCCATGCTTATAATACTTGAATCTTGTGTGTCGTTATTTGTGTTGCTGCGTACATGTGTGCATATGCATGTATGCATGTATGTAGGTTTGTATATAAAATATATCCGGGAATCAACAAAATGAAAAATGATTAACAGATAGAGTATATAAGGTTTAAATAAATAACTTTTAATTATAACAAATATTTCAAATAAATATCTTAAATTATAGTCAGATTCGTCGTTTAATACAATTCGCAGTATGTATGTACCCTTTTAAATTGTGCGTACACGTATTTATTTGAAGTGTAGCACCGACGAAGGTGTCTTAGCAAGTGCTTTATTATGGTATACGAAAATGATCTCTGATTTCAACGATTTGATAATAATTAATTACAACCTATTGTGTAATGATAACAAGCTGAAGAAGCGCGAAGTGACAAGAATATTCGTCAATCAAAGAGTTTTTTCTTCTCTGTCTTTTTTTTTTTTTTTTTTTTAGAAAACAAGTCTTCATAGTTACTAATGTTGAAAATATTGACTAGATCATTTTCTTATTTGTCATGTTCCGTTTCTCCGTTGAAAAAATTGTAAAATAAATTTATAAAAAAGTCACTTAAGCCTGCGCGCACATTTGAAAAAATTGTAAAGTTCGTTGTGTTATTTTTTTATTAATTTTTCTTTCTTTTTTTTTTTGTTAAACTGTTTTAAATAGTATATATCACACTATATAATAAATATTATTTGTTTCTAACGAGTAAATAAAATTTTAGCAACGACAACGTTATATAAAGTAGTAGCATTGATGGAAGACGTGGAATCTTTCTTTCTTTATTTCTATTGTAATAAATGCCCGTTTACGTTGGGATAAATCCCTTTAATTTTGTTTACACCACACTAAAATAAACATCTACTTTTTGTTTCAGTTGTCGATGCATTGACATCTCGATAGCTCATACATAAATATTTCAATTTGTTGTTACAACAATAAAGCGTTTTTTTTTTGTTTTTTTTTATTTTGTTTTTGTTTTTGTTTTTTGTGTCGAGTGCCTCATTTTTTTATCAGCACGTATGTCTCATGCAGATATGTGATATGCATGTATATAATATACACATATGCACATTCATTTGTGAAGCTACCTTAGTGAAAATCATTAAATAATGTTTATTGTCCTTGAAGATGTCGGAAGGAACTAATGATTGCTGGACTATTATTTCCAAAATCGAAAAGAAAAAAAAAACACAATGTAATTGAAAAGCGTCGGTGCGCTGAAAATGTGGGCAACGAATTTCGATAATTACAAAGCATATCGATATGCCATTATAATGTAATAAAATTGGATAGAGTAAAACTTAACATTAATAATTAAAATACATGAAATGAATAGCATTATTTGAGATAGAATTTCGCACGACAATATTTTCACTAAAGTATACATTGTTCGTTCAAATTCACATTCGTTCAAAAAGAATTGAACGAAACTCGCGCCTGTAACTTGCGTCGACAAGCTTTTACGATATATCCGTCCGACTTTATTATTAAGGATTAAAATTTTCTTTCCCATAGTTAATATTTATAATATAATAATATATATATATATATATTGTTATTTGTTAGAAGGACTATTAATTGAATCATTTCAAAGGCCCTACATGATACGCTCGTAACTATTTTGAACACCTTCAGATCTAGAGTACAAATACTAGTCGTCTAAGGCTAGTAAGTATGTTTGCTTGGTGCAAAAAGTAACTACGTCTCTGCTCTTCCTTCCTTTTATTGTCATTGTGCATACATTTGTTTTCTTTATCGCATTGATATGAATCGCATTGGTATTGCCCCGACAAGTAGTGTCGCCGCATCAATCATCAATAAAATGACCAAGCACCAGTTTTTGTACCATGTTAATGTGACTGTACCAACAAATCTTCTACTAACTGAACAAACAACTAGTTTTTTTTCATTTTCATTTTCATTTTCATTTTCATTTTCATTTTCATTATATACTTTTGTGCGAGCAATCGCTCAGGTCCGCTTTCATCGTGTGCGTGTATTCACTTGTTTCTTTTTCTTTCAATTATTATTTATAATAGATCATCCATTATTGATTGCAGCGAGCATACACTGGGAGAATTTTCTATTAAAAATTACCAAATCTAAAATAACAAGTAAATGGAAGACAGTGATTTGCCTTAACTCGTACTCTTATGTTTCAATTAATGTAGACATATATAGTTTATTTATGTGGTCATTCTTTTCTATATATTAATTTTGTATACTCTTTTTGTATATTCTTTGTGCATATTCCTTTTGTATATATATATATTTTTTTTTTTGTTTTTTTTTGTTTTTTTTTTGTTTTTTTTTGTTTTTTTTGTTTTGTTTTTATTTGTATATTCTTTTTGTATATTATTTGTGTATATTCTTTTTGTATATCCTTTGTGTATAATCCTTTGTAAATTATTTATTTATATAAGATTATCTTTTTAACTACACTAATTACAAAGTAATCGTTAAAAGGAAATTCTCTTCGTGTGACTGTAACTAAACAAATATAGGAATAAAGATTTATTGTCTAGATATCGGTGTTTTTGTTTGCGTGGATCATTGAAAAATCATTCAAAAATTTCAATGTAAACATGTCTATTTAGAAATATATAAAACTTTTTCCCTATTCGAAAGTTGAACGCTTTAAAACGAAGGTTTACAGAGTCGATTACTTACTTATTAACATAAATCAATGCTCCTTTGTTTGCTGAAAGATTGCTGCTTACTAAAATTTTGGCATAATAATTTTCATTTATTTTATGATACGTTACGTTTGACGATATGTTTCTTTAGTGGATTGACTCGAGTATATGCGTAAGGTTCGATGTTCCTCATGTTGCAGTTTATAATTGGAAGAGTTGGTTCGCGACACGATCGAAGCCCTTGCCTTTGGCAATCGATCGCGCGCACAAAAAGTAGCGCCAAAACGCCCTTCTAAACTTTATTACTAGACGGACTATAGGGGCGTTAATTCGACAGCCGAATGGCCCATTTTCGTTCTTAGCGTTGATATGTCGTCTTCTATTCGGATCAGCAATTTGAATCTCTATAAACAATGAAATTAATTATATTATTATAGGTTTATTATTCGTCCCGTATAACGGCGGATAAGAATAATGATATTAAACCGATATTCGGGCCTTATTTCGTCCGTCCTCTTTCAAGGAAGCTCTGTTGCTCGAGACATTGTTAAAAACTTTGTTTACTTTCATGAACTTTATAAACGAATAATGTGTATTTTGGCGTTTTTTTTGTGTCTAAGATTTAACGATTAAATTAAAAAATTGGGGTTAGCTTAATATGCAAAAAATGATCAACACTTATGAGCTTGATGGAAAGCTCGTTTTTTCTCCATTTTCTAACAATTACATTCCAAAGAGTATAATTTTATGAAACATGAATTATACATAATTATATTTCAAAGTGTATTTATAAATATTGCAGGGGAGCTACGCAGCTTTTCGAAAATTCACCAACTCTGACGCAAAAAATCATTGCAAATGATTAATCTTTATTTTCAGAAATAAAGTTAAGAAAAAACGAAAGCTTAAAATTGTCATTTTCCATCTGATATTAAAGATCGAATGCACGTTGTTGTTTCAAGAGCGGTAAAACACGATTTGATTAAGGACTTGCGCCTAGACATTTGGCATACCGTCTTGTTGTCTCCTGGAGTTGTCACCCAGGCATAAAGCATGTAGCCAGGTATGCAAAGCATCGATGAAAGTGCCGTCACCCAACCAAGTATATGCGACCACCAAGGATATTCGTAGTCGAGATATTTGATTGGCGTCCACTGCACCAGATTAAAGAAGAAGACTCCCTGAATGAATGAAATTATTTAATTATTACATCGTGAATATCCATTAGATTTCTATTATCTACGCGTGTGAATATAATACGTTAACATTGGAATTTTATATTAAATTTTCAATTTACAGCCAATGCCATTGAATGTAAATTTTAATTACAAGATAAATGTATGTGAGCATTTTTTTTTTCATTTCTTTCCTTTACAATGCATTTGTACACTTTGTTGGAAAAGGATTTAAATCACATTGCGCCACTGGCCTAAATATTTTCGCAGCGTGATGTATATGTCTTACAAAAAGAAAGAATGAAAGAAAAAGAAATGATGAGATATATTTGTTAATTAGCGTTAAATGTACAAGTCAGCCAAGCAGTAGTAATTTCAATAATCGATGCAGTTGTTTGTAATTTTGATTTTTATTCTAATTAAATGTACGATGTTCTATAACTTTATGCTTAGAGATAAAAATAAAAATTCTTATAAAGTTATCGGATAAATTTTGCACATGCGATCGTACTCGGTTTCTCAAATAGCACTTTCACACAATGATCCTCGAATCAAGCGTTGCCAACGGAATATAATTAAATAATTAACAATCAACTTACGATGCATATCATGGGTGTTGTAATGACCCAACAGAACTTCCACCAAGTGAGTGGATAATAGCCAATCATGTCGCGAATCCCATCGTAAAAGCGATTTACTCCAAAGGCCCAGCTGATCGAAATGCATTCGAAAAAGATAAGGAAAAGTAGGCAAAATCCAGAGACGGCATAGGAATCGAGGATTTGGAAGACGTACATGCCGCCTTCGGAGATGCAGGATAAACCAATTAAATACGAGAGAAGGCAGACGATTGCGATGAAAATCTCTTTGCGTCGTCGTAATAGCTTTGGCCACTCGTCCACCTGTATTTGTAAGCGTTTCAACAATTACAAACAGCTGGTAAATCATTAATAATTAATATTTACGAGGGTTAATAAGCTTATTAACTACGATATTATACGCAACGCCTCATGCGACTATTTAGTTTAGTCGCACGAGCTCAATTAGTGCCCAAGGTTATTTTGACTCTTTTATGATTGTTTAAGCGAGCTACCGAATGCCACTTATTTTCCATAAATAAGTCTAAATCGTAATTGCAAATGGCTTTCTGCGCAAGCATCTGAAATGCATATTTATGGTACCTAAGCGCTCCAATACTCCCAAGGTTCGCGCGCCCTCTTACCATCGCTGTAATGAAGCCCTCCATCGTGCAGAATTGCGAGTCGAGGCCAATGAGCAGTAGCATAAAGAAGAAGAGACAGGACCAGAGTGGTGCACCGGGTAGTTGAAGCACTGCCGAAGGATAGGCGAGGAAGGCCAAACCAGGTCCAGATGCCGCTACTTCGGCGACGGGCTTCTGTTGCTCGTGCGCCATGTAACCGACCACTGAGAAAATCACGAAGCCCGCGAACATCGATGTCGATGAATTGACAGAGCAGACGATCAGCGCGTCCTTGTAGACGTTATTCGAGAACTTGTTGTAGCTACCGAGGGCGACCAGCGTTCCTAGGCCAAGCCCATACGAGAAGAATATCTGCGTTACTGCGTCTATCCAGACCTAAGGTAAGCGCGGACAATTTGTTATTATTAAGTTTATTGGACATTGCAAAGCTACGGAATAATTATTGACATAAAACTTAATTACCTCGGATTCTTTTAGCTTCGAGAGATTCGGACTTATATAAAAGTGGATGCCCTCCATGGCACCTGGCAGTGTGATACCCCTGATGAGTAGAATTGTCAACAGGACATAAGGAAACAATGATGTGAAGTAAACGACTTTTCCAGTCCATTTAACTCCCTTCCAGATGCAAAAGTAGCACATAATCCAGACGAGTAGTAGGGTGCCAGCTAATTCCCATCTAATGCCGCCAACGTATTCAACCCCCGGGCTGATTTGTAAAGCTCTTCGTCTGAAAGTTGGTAATGTGAGACGCTTTGCTCGAATGTGGCGTTAAGCGATGATAGACGATAAAGTTTATAATCATAATCAAGAATTTACATTATAATAATACGGCTATCATAAGATCGATGTAGCTTTTTGCCAGATTACAACGACCAATACTTTTACAATGAAGTAGACAAAAACAATTTAATATCGTATCCTTACAATTGTGGTTGTTTTATTTATTTATTTATTTATTTATTTTTTTTTTCGGCACGTACGTAATTTACCCAATTTTACTTAATATTGATTTGTTGCCAATGCACACGTAAACATCTGTGATTAATGGCCAAATTAGCCTTTCGTCATACGCATGCAAATAGCGAAGATAGCTTACTCCCAAAATTCTTTGACGGGATCGGTAAGCTCCGCTGCACTAACGTTCACGTGGTTAAACGTACACATCTTGATAAGATTGCTGCTCTTGTCGATTTGTTGGAAGCAGTAGAGATTTTTTCTCTCATACGGATTGACACAGTTCTTAGTGTTCCAGTAATTATTACAGCTGCCCCAGGGTAGCTCTGAAAAAGACGTAAAAGTTGGATTCGGACGAATGAAGAAAGCCTTCTTCGATAAGCTTGTGTTAGGCTATGATTAGAGCTTAACAAAAAAACAAAAAAAAAAAAACAAAAAAAAAAAACAAAGACACTCGACCCGGGGCTTTAAGCTTGCCTTTTACGGCTTTCACATTTCACCCCAGTCTGCATTTTATTATCCTTTTTGACCAAGTAATACAATGCCACTCACCAGTGCGCATGGACATGAAGAAGTAGAAGATCGCCCAGGCGAGAATAACGATGTAGTAGACGTTCATCCAGCAGGACATGACTGCCGCGGCGTAACCGATACCTTTGAATAGCGGGGCAATCTTAAAGACGCCGAGGCCGCCGATGGTCAGCATCTGACCCAGCGCTAACTCCATAAAAAACATTGGTATGCCGGCAAGGAACAATGTGAGAAAGTAAGGGATGAGAAAGGCCCCGCCACCATTTTTGTAACACAGGTACGGGAATCGCCAAACGTTGCCCAATCCAATGGCCAGACCAACCTAAGAACCAATCATTTTGTTTTTTTTTACATTTCACTGAATTTCTGTTCCGCATAATGTTTCGTCTGAGTCGCGCCTGAGTCGTTTATAAAAAGGAAGAGATTAAATGAGGAATTATGATTTATAATTAAATAAGAAGTCAATGTGTTTCAAATTTTTATACTTTTCCAAATATCTAACTCCCTTGTACATAAGCGAGAAACTCAATTTTTCTATTAAAATTCTTTAAAAGATTATCTTACATGTATAGTTTTCAATGTGATTTTTTCGTAAAAATATATAAATGTATGATAAATGTCGGTATTTCACCAAATGCTTTTTCTTCTCAAAGCACTATGTGTACATACTCTTCTCAATCTTACAAGCTCTATAAATATTAAAAAAAAAAAAAAAGAAAACTTCAATAATGTATCTACGTCGATTTGAGAGACTTCATTTCCTCAACGGACGAGTCGGAGAAAAAGGGGGATAGAAAAAGTAGAATATTTATATGCATGTGAACACGGCATATATAAGAAAAGCTTCTTCCTGGAAAGAGAAATTGATAGAAAAAGCAAAATGGGAAAAGTTGGCTAAAGAAAAATAGCAAAATAGTAGATTGGAAAAATAAAGAAGGGATGGAATTTAAAAAACGAACAAGCTCTATAAATATTGAGAGAGGGAGGGAGGGAGGGAGAGAGAGAGAGAGAGAGAGAGTGGAGTGGGGTGGGGGCAATACAAAAGTGCGTATTCCAATATCTAGAGGAAGAGGCAATTTCTTGTGCGGATGTCTAAGGGAAGTACAGCCATCTGACCTGGTTTCCTGATGACGATTTACTATTTACTATCGACCTTTTCTTTTTATGCTTATTTAAAGAAAAATGTCAAGAAAAATCGTGCGAGTACACAGATATTTCACAGATAAGAAATACCGTGATTTTACAGAATTTCTTCAACGTAATATTAATCTTAATAATATGATATGTTAAAATAATATTACTAAAAAGTTTTTATTTATACAAAAATCAATATAATTAATTAGCCAATAATGAATAATATATAACCAATAATAAACCTATAATAATAAAATATTAACTAGAAATGCATAATAAATATATGTTATAATTATATGGCACGATGTTATTAGTTAAAAAAAAATTTTGAGTATAAATATTAGGGAGAAACTGAAAATAATTTATAAGATTTCTGGAACATTGCACAATTTGCATGATATAATATGCTAAAATTTATTTTCGATATTTAATTTGAAAAGTTTCAAAGTAGACTGAAGTGGGTTCTGTTGTTATTAATAACTTACTTTTACAATCGAACTTTTTGTTTAGTTCATATTAATAATAAATAACTGCTTTAAAATAACAATTAAAAGCCGAAACCACATTATTTTTAAAAAGCTATATTATGACAAATAATAAAAAAAAAAAAAAATGACAATGAAAAAAAATAAATCATCTAATTTAATTAAAGCATTTAAAGTACTTTAATGCCAGATATTTATAATTGATTAGTATTATTATAAATGTACGAGACATTTTTTGTTCGTATGCTGACAACCAAGGAAATATAATTTCATGTATTTGTCAACGTTACGTATGAACGAGCGATTGCACTAGCTCTATCTCTACATATTCGCTTCTTTAATTTAATGAACGTGCTTTACTCAGTTATTAGGTTAATCAAATCTAATCGACGTAGGTGGATTTGTGCAAAATAACAACTCAAAAGAGCTTCGTCTTTGATTATTTACATTGTATCAATGTTCTCATAAATATTCCAATGAACCGCTATAATCTTAGCATATTTATCTAGAAATTATGTATTGTGCAGCAATTAAATTTTTATTAAACATTTTATAATAATGAAATTCGTCATGCTATTGTGTAACAAATGCTTTAACTTCTACTTAATGTCAATTTTCATGTTATTCACGAATTTTGTAAGCTTTTCATCTGATAATTTAAGTTTCATTACTCAATACGCATATATGATTAATAAAAATGTAATTTTATATAATAAAATATTAATGATAATTATTAAAAATATTAAAATAATTATTGTTAATGCAAATTATGACTATATCATATCAAGTATGTCAAAATTTATTGATTGTCAAACGCAAACTGTCAACATTCACAATATTAATGTAAAGGCTATAAATTTAATGCTTTCGTTCGACATTTAAAGTTTCTTTTGTCTATCATAATAGTTAAGTAAAAATAAAACTTTTCATTCCACTTTCTAAAACTACTTTATTCAAATACAATGCAGTTACAAGCACAATATAGTACTTTTATTTATTTATGTTAAATATAATGCACAATATATAAATCAAACATGTAAAGAAACTTATCAAACTGTAGTAAAAGTAATATTAGCATTGCGTTATACAAAGTAATAATATTATAAAAGACAGCTCAAACTACAAATAAAAGTTAAAAATAGCTTTCAACGATGATAACAAACTAATAGAAAAATTAACTTGAAATTTTATCGAAGCTTCTATTGAAGCATAATTATCGTATTATAAATATTTGTTTCACTTGAAATGAATTAGATAAAATTATACGAGATTATTTTTTAAAAATCTGTTTAATAAATAAGTATGTAAATAGTTTATATGAAAATTCCAATCGTAGCAATTTAAATTAGGTATACATGTGTGTGCGCGTACACGCGCATCTGTGTTGTCAGATTTATATTGAAATAATTAATGCGCAAATATTATGATTGACGAGTTTTAAATTGAATACAATTCAAAGATAAATTTGATTTCAGATTATAGTATCTGATTACATATTATCAAATATTTTATACCGTCGTTTAATATCATATATTTTATACATATAAAAGGCAAGTGAGAGATATTATTAAATAGAAATTATTTCCGTTAAAAATTACAATCATTCTGTAATATTTAAAAAAGGAAATAAATGTATAAATCAAAAGTTCACGAGATATCAACTGATTTCAATATTATTAACTTCATTTTATCGACAAGCAGTTTAATGAAAAAGTTTTTATGCGCTTAATTATTATGCATGGCCTACTCATGCACATAATAATATGTTATATAAATTCAAATGAACACGAAAGTTCTACAAATAGAATTTTCCGTATTTTAGTCTGTGTTTATTAATGTTTTAACGAATGTTATCTAAGCATTGATCTTGGCAATGAATTATTAAAGGAATAGAATTGTTCTTTCATACATTATATATATATTTTTTTTTTTGAAAAAATATTCATTTTTGTTATTATAGAACTGAAGATTATAGAAAAAATTGATAAAATTTCATTAAATAAAATTTAATTAAATCATATATTTGGTTTTAGAACTGTTGATGAGCAAATGTCAATTGGTCATAATAAAGTACTTTAAGCAATGTTCTTTATATGTTTCAATTATTTGAAATCGTTCAATTTCACACTCTACATTATTCATAAAATCTAATATATCGAATATTCAGAATGACAAAACGAAGATTTAAATATAGCAAAATGTACGACATTCTATTTCAGTAATTGTTTATTCAATAATATTATTATTTTAGTGACCCTTTAAAATTTTACTTTGACAATGGTTATATAAATAATTTTAAACTGCACAAGAATAATATACAAAATATTCGTTTACAAAACATTAATAATCTCAACACTTTATATGGAGAATTCAGAAATTGTCGCGGTTACTTTATTATTTTGAAATACAAATTCTTTTTCAATTATATTATTATAAAATTTGTTTATATTATATTATACATGTTTGTAATAATTTTCTATTTATTGTAGTAATCTTTATTGTTGCTATATCAGTTTACTTGTCTTTATATTATGTATATTACGTATTGTGTCTAAAATACGCTATTAAATGTATTGTTTTTATTTATGAAACATTGACGGGAAGTAAGTATTATTTGAAAAATGTTTCGAGTTACTTTTATACTTTGTTATCACTGTATATTATCTCACTTATTTCAACAATTTTTTTCTTTCATTAATTGTTATTAATTAATATATTGATAGTAAGATTTTATTTTATCGAATTTACTCATTGAATAAAATAAATTCGCTTTGAAGAACTTAATTATCATATTTAAAACACTCAATAGTATATTTGTAATTGTAAAGTCACGCACACCATTATACTAGTGTATGAAGTAAATGTTCTTTTATCAAACGATTGTAGATAATTAGGGGGCGGGAGGGGGAGGCAGATAAATCTCGTTATTCCAAAAGTACCTCGGAACGACTTATTACACGAATAAGATAAAACTGGTGTGCGACTCTTATCACGATAGCTCGACGATTGAAAAACTCACCACACTGAGGATGAAGTCAAGCTTCGAGCTCCATGTGCCACGCTCCGGTAGATCCTTTTTGGCGTTGGCCGTGGGCGCCAAGGATGAGGAGTTGAGGGATGACCTCGCCCCGTCGGCCCCGTTCTCCAGATCGTGCACTTCCGGCTCCCTGCTGGCCACTTCCGCCATTATGAGACGGCAAGGCCTGAAGGCGCACCAAATTACTGAGGCGGAGCTGCTTCTAGTGGGGGTGGACAACTTTTGATTGACGGCAGCCTGCACACCTACTGTAATCCTTCACAGCTCTTGTTCCGCTGGCCCATAACAAACTACCTGCAACATCAAAGACATTTGCATAAAAGATGAATTTTGCATTCGGAGCATCGAAAAGTTAATGTAAATTCCCATCGTAATTATTCATTGGTTATTTCTACTATTTTCATTGGCTTATCGAATGACGAGTGGAATTAGCGCTTTATAAACTTCCCGGTATCTTCAATAAGATATATTTAATAGTTTTGCAAGTTATTAGTGTCCGTCTTTCATAATTCGACAAAAATCAATTTACTTGATACTTGTTTTGTTGTTGCTGTTTGTTGGTTGGTTGATTGGTTGGTTTGTTTGTTTGTTTGTTTGTTTTTTTTTCTAATACAAACAATCAGTTAAATATGCGCGTCATGAAATTGCTTGACGTGCTAGATATGCGAGGAATGAATGCATTTAAACTAAACCCCTTTACGCTCGAGGGATTTAGTGGCGAATGAAGAATCTCTTCATACGTCTGTTATGGGGCTTGGCTGGGCATTTAAAACTTTCTTTCAAATTGAGCTAGAACTTTACCTCCTTTTAAGGTATTATCCTCATTTTTGACATTAAGAGGACGACGGCATTGCATATAACAATGTATAATGTTGATGAGGTTATTAGACTCGTCGACATCGCAATGATGACTAAGTGGCTTCTCTAAGCTCATCAAATATTAATATTAAATACTATCGATGACACTCCCTGTTCCTTTTATGCAGCTCATTACACTTTATTTTATTGTATTTTAAAGAGTCGTTTAAAATATTATATAAATTGACGATTGATTTAGAGTTTATTTATTCATTTATTCAAGTAAGTTGTAATGTAACTTTTTTTTTTATATATATATATATATATATATATATATATATATATTTGTCTCTGCTTGTGTGCGTGTGCGTGTGCGTGCGTACGCTATATGTAGTGTTTTGAGGTATTATTATGCATATGTATTATACATATTAATATGCATTATTTTTTTATGTACTTAGATATATCTTATCATATCTTGCAATAAACACATAAAAATATTCATTTAAAGTTAAAGAAACTCTTGTTTATATTATGTAAGTAAATCCATGTTTTGTTAAAAATATAAGTATTTTGTATAAGCAGTGTACAAATTTTTACAAGCCTTTATAATATTTATGACCCTTTATAATTATGCATAAATATATATACTAAATATTTCTCGTAAAGAAAGATATCTATGTATGATATATATATATATATATATATATATATATATATGTCTTTCTTTTGGAGAAATCTTTAGTGCTTCCTCTTTTCGGTTCGCTTAAAGAAATCTGATTCTTAAACCTGCCTTTCCTACTTTTACTTTGAATACCAATTAAAAGGATGTGTTCCTTTCAATCGTTTTTTGGGGCTTTTGTAGGTATTGTTATTATCACTTTTATGATGCTCTTAAAAGTCATTACTATATCAGTTATTTTTTTTGTTAGATTCTTTCATTTCTCTATAACCGGAACAGCTATACTTGAGTCGATTTTCGTTTGTGAGTGGCTTTACAAATATTCATATTTGTAAATAATCGTGCTAAGCCTCCAAATTTTATTTTAATTCGTATAATGGATACCCCATACTATTATAAGTGTCTCAGAAACTTAATATAATATTCACTTACGTGTGTGCTCCAGTAAAATATATTTTGCCATAATGAACATTGCAATAACGTAAAAATTCACACTAAAAAGTGATTATCTCAATTAATATAAAAATACAATATTAAACGTTTTAAATAGTCACATTTTTTTATTTTGTAATACAATAAAGTATATTGTACTTGGGATATAAATTTTATAATCTATCTTATGATGTGACACGTTAAAAGTTATATTACAGACATAAACATTTAAAAATAATATAATATTATAGTCCAAGCAATATATTTGATTTTTAATTGGTATATTGTATTTTGTATTTATTGTAGTTAATTATTTAGTTTTATGTATAGAAGAAATATATTGACAAGAAACAATTATTTGAATCATATTGTTCAGTATCATTAGAACAGAGAAAGAATTCATTAGTTATTATGTTTGTATCATTAGTTTGCTTTTAATTTAGAATAGAATTAATCTGTTGTGGTTCCGTTATTGGAAATATTTCAAGAAGAATTCTCTATTGTCATTATTTATCTATATTCTTCTATCTCGCTCTCTCTCTCTCTCTCTCTCTCTCTCTGTCTTTTACTCCTTCCTATCTATGCCATTTTTAATTTCTATAGATACACAATCTTTTTTCTTTATACACAAATATATTATAGTAATTATCTAGAATACTTAATATATAAATAATTAGAATGCCCTCTTAGAATTATAAAAAAAAGTTAAAAAGATTACGGTTATAAGTTTATAAGATAATATAAAAGACGAATACAAGTTCAATAAGCGCTTTAAATATTAAAAAGTTAGCCAAAGAAGTTTGAGTTACTCAATTAATTATAATACATGATAATATCCATTATCAAAAGGAAACAATTTAAGTTATTATATGTGTTCATTATTATTCGTAATCTATCTTCATAAGTACGAAAAATTTGTTCATTTAAGTTTGACCTGTTTATTACATAAGTTGTAGAAACATACAGTTAATAACTTAAAATTACTTTTATAGATATTTTTCAATTAAGTTATTCAGGATATTATATATATATATATATAAGCTACTAATATTCAATTTTAACGATTAAATTATTTAGTTTATAATTGTATTAAATGTTTGTTTTTCCTTTAAATGCATTTAATATGATCATATTTAATTCATATTTGAATCATATTTGATGATGATAGTTAATATTGATCAAGGTAATGTTTGCTAAAACATTTATTATTTCATTTAAGTAAAAGCTGCTCCATCATTTAAGAATACTTTAATTTATTGTCTATGATAAAATAACTCTAATTTTAATCCATTAATGTCAATGATTTGTCATATAAGTTTTTCCTTATTTATGTAATGTTGTAATATAATATCCGAAAAAGGGCGTAATATTATTACTTGAAAGAAATGTGCTTATTCTGAATGTATGTACTATTAATAATGAGTAAAAGATGCCTTTAAAAGCAGTGCTTTTCAGCTTGCGTCCATTGAAATAAAAGTTATATCGTGGAAACATTATTTTTCAACATTTTCTAATAATAGCTTTGTTATATTAAGTATTTCAACGAGCATTTTCCTCTTAGAAAATTGCAATTCCATTTTTTTCCATTTCCTATTATAATTACAATTTATAGTAGTAGAATTTCTTTAGAATTTTGAAAATCACGACATTTTCGGAAAAGATATGGTGATCCGTCAGTATTCCCTTAGGCATCTGTAAAGTAGGAAAATTCCTTTCGACATTACCTACGAAAGTCCATGCATTCGTCTCGTCTATATCTATATATTTTAGCTAACCACCCGTTTCTCAGACACGAAAAAACCGCGAAATCCAACGACGCTTTTGCTCCTCGTATTTTCATCTTTGCATACGCGCATTAACGGAAGGTGAGAGAGAGAGAGAGAGAGAAAGATTGATGGATAGAGAGAGAGAGACAGACAGACAGAGTACGGAGATCGTAATGGAAGCGGAAGGGAAGTAAGCGTTGGCGATAGGCGGGCAATTTTATAGTTCGTAGCGTAGTTTTCTCAACTCCGTCGCTCTTTCAGTACGAAATCTGCGGAAGCCAATTGCTCGATGACGGTGGTCCACTTTCAAACAAAGAAAATTTCTGGCGCGCTTTCTGGGGCGTCATAATCGATCTAGCCCTGCAAGCCTTGTATACACGCGCGCGCACGCATTGAAAGTATCAGTAGGAAAAGAGAGAAAGAGAGGGCGGTCGAGAGCTATAGAGTAAGAGAGAGAGAGAGAGAGAGAGAGAGAGAGAGAGAGAGTGTGAGAGATTGAGAGAGGCTGGCAGATCCGAATGCGATCCCCTCCTCTATCCTCGCCTCCTCCCGTCGCTCACCATTAATTGGGACAGCCGCGTCTCGGCTCTTTCTCTTTATTTACCGAAAGTGCGACACATGGCTGATCGCTCGGTAAGGTGTCAGTGAGCCCATTAGGGGCGACGTTTTCCCCCTCGTTCCGATGGCTTTCTGCTGTCGACGGCCAATTCGAGGGAGCAGATTGACGTTGACCTACAACTAGACGCACTTTCTGCTCACCTGCTTTCCTTCCCTTCTTCCTTACTACGCAGCGGATGTCGTGCGCTCGCAGCTGCTGCTTTCAACGCAATGACACGTGCCGTCGCCTCTGTTATCGAAGATTGCTCAATCGGGTATCAATGACCGACCCTACCGTGGGAATATCATTAATAGGCATAATCGAGGTACCATGTTTCTCCCCGCTTATGCTCGTAGTGTAACATGCGTGGAGAGCGTTTATCGATACAGCTTGCTACCGTATTCTTCCGAGCTTTGTACTCGTCGATGTACGCACACATCGCAACGCGCGTTACCCAAGAGTCTCTCGCTCTTTTCTCGAGCCTCTCGCGTGGCGGGCTCTTTTCATTTTTCGCCCGACCCTCTTCAACGATTCTCTATTTCACGCGTGTGCGCGCAACTGCGTGCGTGTGCGTATGGGCAGGCGGGCGCGCGCGCGCGCGCTTGCACATCTAAATCATCGGACGCTGTTGAGCTCGGCTGCTCTTTTGTTGTGCACGTAGTCGACAGAGCTGGAGGGAGCGAACAGAAGGCAAAATGGATGAAAGAGACTGGAGATTGCTGGAGAAATAGAAGGAGAGAAATAGAGTGATGGCGAGATGGAGGTAGGGAGGGATTGAGGGAGGGAGGAAGAAAGTCATATGGATTTAGAGATTGCAGTGTTGCTTATCCGCGTGATGATAATGTTCATATTCGTGTAGAGCAGTCCACTCGCTATCCTTGGAGTACAGCCAGCTTTTTTTACGTGACGCGAAAAATCTTTTATCCCTCGCATCGTTTTTCCTCTTATCCCCTCTCTCCCTCCCGCTACCATCACCCGTTCACCCCATTCATCCCCCTCCCCTCCCCCGCCCATCACCTATTACCGTCACTTTCTTTCGTCTCTACCTCGTCCCTGCTCGCTCGCTCGCTCGCTCATCGGGGGTGGCGCGCGGGCTTTTTCGAAGTCTTTAGCTTCCCCCAAATTGTAACTCGCCTGCGCTTTTGTCTCTTGCCTTTACTTTTCTTCGTCTCATTGTTCATTCACTTATTTATTTTATCATTATCATTCTCGCGTCACGCGACTTTCCCTCCTTTCCAGCCATTATTTATTTTGCTTTTTTTCGGCAAACTTTTATTCGCGTCCTCCTTCCCGCCACTTTCCTCTCTGTCTCTCACTTTTATCGGCTTTTTTTATCGGTTCTCGAGGGATCGACCCGCATCACCGATAAACAGTGTACATCCGAGTAATCAATTTGTCAACCGTTTCCTCTCCATATATATATATATATACGGAAGCGCGTTTGGAAAATACGTGTACGTGTGAGCATTCGCTTTGCGATGGTCATGTGTGTATGCAGGATTACGAGAAAAGGTGCCTGTGCGTGTGTATAGGCGCGCTGATAGATGGTACATTGAAGAAGAAGCTTTGAAGCCTAGATAATCGCGCGGCAAATCTAGGGAGAAGCAACGCAGAGATGCGTAGCGGGTAGGTGACGAAGAGATAAAGAGACGAAGAGGAGTGAAAGAACACTTTTCGCTCAAGTTGTATCGAGTCTGAAGTTACTTTCACGACACGAAACACTCACAAAATGTGAAAAACATTTGGATAGGAAAGGGCCAAGCGATTTAGGGAATGCGATTGAATTAAATCTAGGAGCTTACGTAAATAGAGAGAAAATATGATCGTACGTATGCAAACGCCCGCCTATAAGAGAGAGAGAGAGAGAGAGAGAGAGAGAGAGAGAGAGAGAGAGAGAGAAAGAATGGAGGCGCGCTAATATGCATGTCCGGCAGGGGTCCCATGTAATAAATATCACAGCCTCCTGAGTGCTGGGCTCCCTCTTCCTCTTCCACGCTCATAAAAAACAGCTATATTCTAATTAGCCGAGGTCGAGCTTAAGTCTCTTCTATTTCTCTCTCTCTCTCTCTCTCTCTCTCTCTCTCTCTCTATTTCTTTGTTCCTCTCTTAACGTTATTTATCTGTCAACTTGGAGCCTCACAACGAATGTGGGTCCCTTTGTGCGGTCCCGATTGAATGGGAGCAAGCACAATGAGAGTGGCCCAACGACAAAAAATGGCCTAGTCCGCATACGTCTGTTTACTCGCTTTCATCCCCCTGAGGAGCACGCTCAACAACCCTCCTCGACTCGCCCATCGTAAGTTGGTAGCAACCAGAACTATGGGTGACAGACGAGAAGGATGAGAAGAAAGAGGAGGAGGTAGAGGAGGAGG